CTGTTAATGATTATTCATAGATATATTTCAGGAAGCATTTTTATATCAGTTTGTTTGAAACTCTTGTATAATTAGCAATGCAGATTAAGTTGTAATCACAGGCAACTCTCGAGCTGAATTTGTAAACAGCAACTGTTATGTTATTATGCAGGGTTGTGAACAACAACACAAACACAGTGTTTCCAACGTTTCAGACTCTTTGAGTGCTGCTGTAGAAAGCAGATGAGCTTTATTTGGCCATTCTTGCTCTCCTAAATTGTTTCAACACCGTTGTTGCATCTTCTCATTAAAACCACAACTACACAAATAAACAAAACAGGAACACTATGAATGGTGAATAGATGAATAACCCTGTTTGTTACCACATGGACGTATAGGATATAAGAGGCATCTAAGGACAAAGAGTGAAAACTGAGCTGGCGATAAAAAAGAGAGAAAGGAAGGATGAACGTCTGTAGGGTCGACAAGGAGTTCACATGCAACTGGTAATGGACTCTGAGCGAGATGATAGGTTACAAGCAAGTGTTGAAATTGGTAACAATTGAATGTGATCTTTTACAAACACATACATCTGTGTATGCGTGTAAACATACATTAAAAAAAGGACTCTCCTGAAACGATACATTTTGATGAACTGTTTAATAATACATTTTCATAGAACACAGTTACCGGTATAGAAATGTTCTTCTTTGTGATTTCAAAAGGTCGATATTGACAGGTCAAATACAGGCGAAACTTATAACATTACAAATACAGTTATTGCTGTATTGTAATGAAATAACAGCTGTACTGGAGCCATCGTTGACACAAGCAAAAGTAAAATTCAAGAAGCAGAAGCACATCTTGCTTTTATGGGTCGTCCAGGTTTCTAAGCTTGCCAAACATGCTTAGGTTAAACATTGTTTGGTGTACCCTAATCATCAATTTAAAACTCAAATTTGAAAAGAAAATTTCCATTGGAAATGCTCAATCCCGATATCATATCATTTAAAAGAGGACTAAAACAGCTTTTGATATTAATCCTTGTGTATCTTTCTGGTGATTTATTCACAATGTGTGTCTGTGTGTGGGTGGTTGTTGTTAGGTCGTCCCATATTCCTGTGGCACTTTGAGGTTTTACCAATCGGACTGCATCCCTGGCAAGGTGTTGTCTCTAAAATTGTATTATATTACAATAGTGACTGTAATGGAATACTCCTCATCAATCACTAATCGGTAATGTAATCCAAGGGATTACCTAAACTCAATAATAGATTCCTCCAGAGTACCTTCCGTATTTTCTGCAAAAGTAAATAAGGTATAATATATGTAATTAAATCTGAAATGACAAATGCATACATATGTTTTAAATACAAACTGTACGTTGTATCTTGATATAAAAGTCTCGATTTTTATTGATTTCTGAGTTCCTCGTGCCCAACTAAACTGTTCCCCAAAGTAATCTTTCTATGATCTATATATCATTATGATGTTTGAATTAAGATTAAAACATTATCTTGTTTTATTTGGTGTTTCTTTAGATGTTGTAGGTAACAAACTGCATTGAAGATTTTTTGTATTAAAGTCACTTAACTTTAAGTGGACCACACATCAAAATACATCCTCTACTGTGATATATATGCACAGTACTACTCCCACACACATATAAAACAGGATCGCATTAGAATTTAAACACAATGAGATTGACGGCAACAGGAGTGTGGGTCACACTGAGGCAGGTGCAAAGATTTTCTATGACTGTTTTCAGAAAGAGATCAGGCTTTTTCACCCAAATACTCATGATCCTGTTTGAATAGGTGACAGCAGGAGTGAAATCTTTTGCATGCAGTATTGGAAGTTAATCTGCTGCAACACTGTTTGGGCTTCTTAAGGCTAACAAAAACATACACACACAACTACAAAGAAATACACCTTCATGAAATGAACGCATGAGAAAACCCAGACTATGGGCCTCATAGTCCCTACCTATATAGTTAAGTTCAAGTGTGTTTTCTTTATTGTACCTTCTTCCTTTTTATTATTGGTATTAAAACATATTAGGCATGCAACAATTCCCTTATTAGTGTCCGGTTGCCCTTCGTATAAACCCAATTTCCATATATTCTGCTTTTAAAGTTGAGAAAACATTATCAGAGTCATACGCTGATGCTAGTGCCCTTTCTTCAAATGTAGCTTGCCCTTGCCCCACAGAGAGACCGAGTGTGCCACTGCATTTGCGGGAGTTTGTGTGATCAGAAACGGCACAGTGGAACATCCCTGTCAAGTGCTTAAAGATGCATGGGAGTGCTCCATCATTAACAAGATGCTTTGATGGAAAGTTCCACACAGGAGTGAGAGATATGGGCATCAAGTGAGACACAGACAGACACACAACAGGTGAAGGCTGGGAAGAGAGTTTGTGTGACACGGAGTAAATAGCTGGCACGCAGTTTGTTTCTTTTCAAGCTTGGGCTTCCCTCCTCTGAGCCTCATACTGTACAACATGTGTGTTTTCATTTAGACCTGCCTCTGTGGATTATATCCCTCTGTCATAAAGAAAAGGAAAGACCCAGATTTGAATGGCCAGGTGAACAAAACACTTGGATTAGGATTTGATTTTGTATGTTTTGGGGGGGTTTTAATTGGAAAAAATATGTATTACTCTGATTTTCCTACTTTTTATATACAGCAACATTGAAACTTTCTGGTGTTTTCATGACAAAAAGTTTGGCCAATTTTACATTTTGAGATTCAAGGTTCAAGCCAATAGGGCATTATAGAAGCAAGTTCACGTACAAGCAGCACATCAAGACGCACTTGGGAAAAAAACTCCCAAAGGGCAGCACTCAAGGCTTCCATGATGCTTTACTCCCTGACACCCTGAACAGTTTCTTTGCCTGGTTTGATGTCTAAAACAGCAGAGTGAGGGCTCACATATCACCGCCCAAGGGGGAGCACATGCTCAAAATACAGTGACACCAAGTGAGATCCACGCTTATGAAAATAGACACCACCAAATTAGCAGGACCAGACCAGGTGTCAGGCCGAACACTTAAGTAATGTGCTGAGCAACTAGCATTAGTGTTCTCCAGCATTAACCCTCCCTGCAACAGGCGGTAGTCCCCATCTGTTGTAAATCTACCACCATTGTCCCGGGACCCAAAAAGACAGCAGTTCAAAGTCTTAAAGGACTACCTCACACCAATTGCTTTGAGAGGCTTGTACCATCTCGCATCAAGGTACTGATCTGGACAGCCACCAGTTTGATTGTTGAAGTCTACAAATGATGCTGTTTCAATTGCACATCATACAGCCATGTCACACCTGGAGCATCCAGACACACATGTCAGGATGTTGATTTGTAGCTTTGCTTTCAATACTATAATCCCCCATATACTGTAAAACAAACTCAACAACCAGGGATTTGCCACTTCACTCTTACTTCAGACAACAAATGTGAGAAAGGGCTAACACACATCCTCGACCCTCTTCCTAAACTAAGGTGCACAGCAGGGCTGATTGTGGACTTGAGTTAGATCTAGTTAGACACATGAATGGTAAAGAGGTGGAGAGTGAACAGCTTTTAAAAAGAGCTATAGTATACATACCCCCCACTTCCCCCTCCCTTCAACAGCTGTTGAGGATGGGGATTGCAAATATTATTTGCCCCCCACTCCACCCCAAACTGCTGCTAATGTATTTATTTGATCTTTAACTGTGTTTTTATTCTGGTTGTGTTTGTATTAGTGTTGTTTTTATCTTAGTTACCAGATTGAATATAATTGTATTCATACAAAAATGATAACGTATCTTTAATAAGATACATTTGGCTTGGTAGTACGTTGAATAGAAGATTTTGTCAGTCCTGTGTCACGCACAACACTGCTGGCTGTTTTTAAATAGCACGGCTAGTGACTCAAAGATCACAAGGTCAAGTCCCTGCACCAGCAGGATACATTTGCGTGAAGAAAGTGAAAGAACAGTGTGTTCCCTGTTTCAAATTGCCACCACCATTGTGTTGTTGAGCAAGGCTCTTTACATAAAAGCACCACTGGAGCATCTGAGGCCTCAGGTTTTACTGAGAAAAGGACAAGTTCATTTGTGTTTAGCAATCATTCCAATTGTGCCATGAAACAGTCCTCTACCTTATGCACTTACATATCTGCCGGTCATGAGACAGAACCCCACAGGCTTAAAGTCATAACTTATAAAATAGTTTTACAATGCTGCAATTGTTCTTTTATTTTCTCTTATCCTTTAGTTTTTTGTTTTTTTTAAACAACAAACAATTTATTTAAAATGATTGTATTTATATATTGAATATACACTGAACAAAAATATAAATGCAACACTTTTGTTTTTGCTCCCATTTTTCATGAGATGAACTCAAAGATCTAAAACATTTTCGATATACACAAAATAACCATTTCTCTCAAATATTGTTCACAAATCTGAAAAAATCTGTGATAGTGAGCACTTCTCCTTTGCCGAGATAATCCATCCCACCTCACAGGTGTGGCATATCAAGATGCTGATTAGACAGCATGATTATTGCACAGGTGTGCCTTAGGCTTAGGCCATAATGCGACGAGGCTGTGAGTCTGTGTGTGAGCACACACACAGACTCACAGCCAGGCTGCGGGTGTGTGTGTGTGCTCGGGCTGGTTTCGGGCTGGGTTTCGCTGTCTCGCAGACGGCCACTGGGCTCACAGGGAGGGGGGGGGACAGGATCTCCAACAAGCCGTTTAGGACAGAGAGTGAATACACATACTATACAGAGATGCTGTATGAGAAACCAATGTGAGTTTGGAAAATTGCACAATATAAATATATTCTAGTAGACCTCAACAATGGAATTATGATCAGTAGAAATGGCCATGACATGGGACCTTTAACCTCAGCGATGGCCTTGACTGATTAACAAAGGTTTCCCATAGTTCAACATGGAAAGGTGGGGTAAAAGGGTTAATATTTTTGATTAGGGTCACTGCAACACATAGATGACAAAGATAACAACCACATTGTACAAGAGGAATAGGAGTAGTCCCATTTATTAATTGCAGTCTACATGATTCCAAAAGCAGTTTGATGTTGGTTACAACGGAGCACATACTGGCGCCTGACACTGGCGGCATTTGACAGAATAGCATTTTCCTGCAACAACTTTTAAAAAATCAATGAGGAGATGCTAGAGGCCCCTGATGCCTAACATCATATCAATGAACAGCAGTTATAAAGTATAATATGTTTACGCTCAAAAGGGGCGAGTAGTGAAAGAGGGCAGTGTTCAAACATCACATCACAGGACTGTTTGTCACCTCTCAAGGGAATTGAAATGAGTAACACTTGAGATAAGTGCCTTGGAGCTAAAATTTCTCTAGCAGCAAATGGTTTAGTTTGGGACGTTGCACTTGAACGCTACATTACTCATAAATGAGTACAAGTGAATACTGTTTTACATAAATCAGCTGATGAACCACTAACCATTATTCCAATAGCAGTGGACCTTTTAGTTTTGGTATCAGAAATCCCTGTAGGCTTAAAACACATAAATATTATGTACGCATTAGTATTTCAGAGATTAACCAATGTTGATAATTATTTTCAATAGGTATAACATAGGAATATTTAGAAGATAAGAATTAAATTGTTGTACAGCATAACATAAACCCAGTTACTGACATTTAACCCACTCCACAATGTTGTGTCCATTGATCTTAAGACACTTTGATAACCCAGTGACAAATCAGATCACGCTCCCATTTCCTGATGGCGTGACTGTGCCCTCAATTAATTATTGAGGGCAAGTATTCTGTGTAGTGTCGCTTGGTATTTTGATACCCCAAATCCAGTACATGGCTGACTAGATTATTACTACAACAATGCCTTAGTGGAGGTCTGCATGTGGTTTAGAAAGTACAACAATATTAGAAACATATCATCAAGCTATAAAGCCCTTTTGAATTAATGCAAAACTCAATACTTTGTTTCTCTCTTCATTGGAAATCTAAAGGGCTTACCTTTATGACCAGAGTTAAACATAATACAGTGTTTAAATTACATCAACCGTCATTAACTAGTCTTGTTAATGCTTCTGGGATGAACCATCTTTTTCGTCTCCCACGCCAACATTTCCTCCATGGGCAGAAGAGAGAAACTTCCATCGAGGTGCAGCGGGCCTCTGCTTTTTGGGAGCCTCGTATGGAAGTGCTATCAGCCACTGCAACAGCAGGATGGGGGGGTCAAGCCTAAAAAGAGACAAGTCCAGTCCAAATTAAGTCGGGTCAGACATGAGATATTACAAAGAAAAGAAAATATACAATATGCAACCACTAATCCCAAAAGGAGGACTTTCAGAAAGCAGTTAACACTACAAGAGCAATGATTCCAGGATGCAATCTTACCGATCCTTTATGTTCTTCTTGAGGGTGCCCATGCATATGTTGAAAGAGAATATAGTAAAGTGCCTCAGGACATGCCAAGCCCAGAACCAAAACTCAAGCCTGGGGGAGAGAGAGTGACAAGACTCAATGAATAACTGCACACCATATTTTCTTAAATTGATCAATTGATAGTTGTGTCTCTGTTTAAATGTATAACTACAACCACAACATGCAGTAACCATGACCTGAATGATTCAATGGTCAATACACTTTCCAGGGTTTAGTATGACATAAGTTAGATTGGTCATGATTTGTTGGTTTAAATGCATGGATTCCTCCAGATCTGCCTCAAATGAATCCTTAATATTTGAAATATATATTACTTGCCTGATGAAAAGATTGATCGTACTCTTATATTTGTAAGCTAAGTATGAAGCTCCAGCCAGTAGACTTAACTTAGCATTGCATAATTACTGAAGACAGACCGAAACAACTATGTTAACATTCTGTATTTGTATTACCTGTGTCTACTCTGAAGTAGTGTGTGAAACAACAGCATCAGAGGGAGGATCAGGTTGGAGAAGATTTTTGCAGGGAGTCCAACATTGCTGTGATAGGTCACTACGTTGCGGAGCAGAACTGAAACACAAGTTTTCACAAATAATTGGTATAACAATCTCTACATTTGGTTCAGCATTCATTTTGAAATTACAAATCAAGACATTAGCCGCATTCACACCGCAGGACTTTCCCTGGTACTTTGGTTCTTTAGTTCCGTTAGTACCAATAATGTCGCGTTCACACCGCCGGGACTACTCAGTGCCGGGAACTCTTTTGGCCATTTTCAGTCCCTGCTAGAGAGGTGGTACGAACCTGGTGATAAAAGAGTGCCAATTTCTATTCTATTTCTATTGGCTGGGCGAATTGCAAACCACGCCCCCGTTAGACTCTACAAAACCACATCCACATCTGAGCGAGTAGTTTTTTTGTACTTTAAAGCAGTTATGACCACACGTACTACAACACCGGAGCGGTGGAATGATGAGGAAGTGTCGGCGCTTCTGGCAATTTACTCTGAGGACGGGATGCAGCAGCTTCTACAGAAAGCAGTTCCCAACTCCAAATGTTTTGAGCGATGTTCGCAAAAGCTACTTGAGCTGGGAATCGTGCACAGGGCACACGGATGCCGGGTAAAAATAAAGAAACTCAGGCAGGACTATAAACAAATTAAAGACACAATAATAAGAGTGGTAACGATTTTCTATTGTTATTATATATATATATATTGCCACTGTTTTTTAATACTGACACCTAACTTGCACTAAGGTGTGTCTGCTGCTATATATATTGCCACTGTTACATTGTTTTGAAACTACTTACACTTTATTTTACATTTCACACTTTTATTTAACTTCAATTTACATGCATACGACACACCTGGAACAGCGTGATGCCGTTATTGTTATGTCTTGACTGTGCAATAAAACAAACAAACTGGCGAAGCTTTATTTATTGTGTCCCACCCCAAATTTGCAGAATATAAGAATGTGAGAGCAGACAGGTGTCGGTGGTTGAATGTATCTACAATGTTGCAACCTTATGCAGCAATGGCAGGGGCAGAAACACAAGTCTTACACACATAAACACAAGTCATTTATCATGTCATTTGTTTTAGATAAATAAGGGAAAAACACCAAACAAGGGTTAATGTCCTTTTCCAAAATCAGCCTGAGGGGGTAATATATAATAATAAATACATAAAGATAAAGTCCATTGTTATAATGGGGTATTTTATTTGTAAATTACCCTTATGAACTCCATCATGTCTGAGGTCGGAAAGTAAACAAACGCCTCATACAGCGGGTGGGCTTTATACCCCCTCCCCCGTGTAGTTCTTCTTCTCTCGTTTTTTTTGGTACTCTCCGTGAAGTGGTTTTGCGGCCTTGCCAGTAAACCCAGAGAAGAAGAAGACGAAGTGACGTCAGCGTAATCTTGCCTCAGGGAAAGTACTGCGGTGTGAATGTGATTGGCACTAGCCCCCTGGCGGATTCAGTGCCGTGGTACTTTTTTAAGTACGGCAAGTCCTGCGGTGTGAAAGCGGCTATACTGTAACTTACAAATCCAGTGGGGGGGGGGGGGGAGAATCTGTTATGCTAAATGTAGTTAACCGATTGCTGAAATCAGTTTTTACAGACATTTGTTGACCAATTGTGGACAGGTAATTTAAATGAACAATGTATTTACATCTGAACAACAGAGCAGTCTGTAAATCATTGTCAGTTTAGTACAAGTGTGTACACCAGACATACCTTTCTTTTTCATGTCAACATGGAGAGAAGGGTTTTTATTCTCTCCAGTTAGTTCATGTTCAGTAGAGCTGACTTTCTGCTGGGGTCGCTTGGGTGTAAAAGATGTCAGTGTAGCAGTCTGCTTTTCCACTTGTATCTCCTTCTCTGTGTCTGTCTTCAGATTCATGCACGTTTTTGTTTGGTTACAGTCAAGTGTTCCTTGAGATAATTTTTGGATCATCAAATATCGGCCATGATCTGCATACAAGGGAAAAGTAGATTGATTGTGTGTAAACATGTTTAAATCTGCATGTTTTTATCTATAGATAAAGTTGACTTACTATGGCTTTGAAGGAAATTAATAGCATCCTTGTAGCCGCTGTGGTAGGCCTGTTCCAGAGTCTAAAGCGCAGAAATACAATTCTATGTTTTAACGGATACTTTTAGAAATGTTTTTCACAATGGAGGTGCTATTCATTCAAAATGATTCATCAACATGTGGGTAGTAAAGGCTCATCCAATCTAGACAGGGATTATCGGAAGGGATTCACTTAAACATTTAGTTTGACACATCATGGGTCTTTCATAGTGTCAATTTGTAGCACAAAAACAATTGATCATCTTCCAAAGAATATTAAATTAAATCTGAATCATAATAGAAGTTCACTTTCATTTATTGTTCCATATTTTGAAAGGGGTCTTACCTTTAGAGCCATGGGGTAGAGAGCATTCATGATCCTGGAACCGTTAGCCGTGTTGATCTTCAAGGTGCTGCCACTCACCACCATGTCCCAACTGCAAGGTGTGTCGGTGGGACAGATGTCTATCTCTCCGGAGAATGGACACACAGTCAAGGTCTCACTGTGGGGTGCCACCAGCACTGGTTGCATTTCACTGAAGCCCCCGTCCAAATAATACTATAAAAAAGATCACATCAATTATTATTCACACCAGCAGAATGTGCTTATTATGACATTGTGATAAGGCCATTCAATACTCACTACTCCTCTGAAGGATGGAGGCAGCATACCGCAGTAAACAGGCACGAAGCAGCTGCATAGCAAAGCCTACATATAAATAGACATGGTTCAAATTACATTTTTGCTTCTAACCTGCTTACTGTAGGTTTTCTTTTAAACATTAGGATGCCAACTCACCTGCACTACATCTTCTTTTGACTGGAAATCAGACGTGAGAATGTGCTTGCCATCAGACAGGCGTGTCATAGACACAGAGAGACGCCCGTTGGCCATTTGGTGGGCATCAGAAGGAAGATGCTTGTGTAAAATACTCTCCAACCAGTGGGAAACATTCATTGCAGGGTTAAATGGCCCAAGTGTAAAAGACTGCATTTGTTCGGCAAAATGCAGCATCTCATCCCGAATAGTTACTGGAAAATTGAAGACTTAAATTCAGAAACAGTGAATATATGCAACAGAGGTAGATTTAAAAAATAAGACAAAGTCACTTACTCATGCTCATTTCACAGACTACAGCAGCTGCCACCAGAGACCCAGCAGAGGCACCCAGGACACAAGGTGCCGTGCGCAGTATCCACGGTGCATTATTTAGGAAGCATTCGGCAACCCCTAACTGGTAGGTAGCCATGAATCCAGATCCAGAGAAGGAAATTGAAAGAGGATTTTCACTAAAATGATAACTTGAAATTCCTCGAGCCATTTTCCAAAGGCTTTAAACTGTCAAATTAAATGTTTTCAATCATTAATCTGAAAAGTATTACTGCTCAAGCAAATACAGATTTCGTTCTTTTGATGTAGACTGAGTTATAGCAGGAATCCAGTGGACAGTGGGGACTGTTTCAGGATCAGTGTCTTAAAACCAATCCAAATTAGACATACCATATTGGTCAAGCCCATGTGATATACAGTGCATGCTGCTCTCTCAATGGCTTTTTGTCTGTTTCATTTCCGAAAAGTTAACAAATAAACATGTTTGGCAATACCGAATGACTAAAAAACAAATCCAAAGAAGAACAAATATATAAAAAATATTTTTGAAACAAGTCCTTTCCTTTATGTACTTTTGACCTTTTTAGGAAAACCGTTTTTGAGGATTTCACAGTTATGGTTTTCTAAAGGAACATAAGGCACTATTGTAAGACATCAAGTTGAAAAATGTGTTTTGCTATCATACTAAACTAAATAAAGCACTATAATTCATTCTGAAAATCAAGTAGCAAAACTTCAGCTCAGATCTGCACAACTCTACGGAATCTCCTGCCCTAATTTTTTAGCAAATCATCAGGTGAGGCAGGAATGCTACTCTGTATGTGTTTATGTTTTCCTCACATATTGTCTATTTTTTTTACGAGCTTACTAATACTGAAACATTTAGCTAAAGACACTATGTTCGAGTGACTGCCTTGCATTTCTGACCTTTCTGTTTGTTTGTTTGTTTGTTTGTTTGTCTCATTTTAAATAGGCCAAAACCTCACACTGTCTCTCCTTCAACAAAAAACAACTTTAACATTGGGGGGCCCTACTGCACTGGAAACACTGACTAACAACAGTTTTATGGCTTTAGGAGGCATATATTTGAGGACATTTTACAGCCAGGAGTTTCAATCAATAAGTTTGGTATGAGACTCAACCAAAGAGAAGGGACCACTACATATTGAATGTATAGGTGAAATGACGTGAGGGAAGAAAGCTAATAAACTAATGTTGTGTAATGCCACTATACCTGCCTTGCATAGCTGTGAAGGCTTTAACTACAAGCATCACAACCAATCACACATCCTAAAGGTTACGCTTATTTCTGTTTAACATCATACATACACAGACACCATTCTAAACACATGTTTAACCAACTTTATTTTTCTAGATTGATTGCGTAATTGTGTGTTGTGTTAACCCCTATGTTGTCAGTGTTTTGAAAATCACCTTGCTCCTGGCAAAAGGCTGAGCTGCTGAACAACACCTGCCTATGTAGATGCGCCTCGTTAATTGGACTGTGCCATTCCCCTAAACTGGTGTTTAAAGAAGCCACTTCTCCTAAGACACCCATCTTTAAGTAGACAACAGTATTTTCTCCACTGCACTCAACTATGGACTGGCCAGCGTTGTTATAAATGCCTGCAGTGTGGAGAAGAAGGCAGTGGCTCTTGGGCAGAAGAAAACCCAACATGTCACCCACTTTTTATAGTTTTATGTTCATTAATTTATGCTTAGACATAAGAGTACAGTATATCTGTTTATATTATAAATAATTAACCCCTCCCTTCCTCTTAAATCATTTTGTTTCCCATCCTAAAAACGATATATGTTTTTGGTTAATCAATCCCCATATTTTTCATTCTTTACCTGCCCTCCTTATTTTTGTGTATCCTGGTCCTTCACAATAGCTTAAGTATAAACACCCTTACTGTACATATACAGTGATTTTTGTGGGGGTTTTGTCAAATATGCAGCTTGCAAAATAAGTCATACTTTGTATGTCCAAATAAGAAATCACTTGTGCTAAACCCCTGAGCTTCAACAGTAACAGTTACCATAGTATATAAAAAAATGCTTAACAGGATATTTATTCAAGCAGGAAAACATTACAATTACGAACCAATAGGCTCAACACAAAACTAAACTTCACAAATGCACTGTCTTTAGGTTGAATAATACAACTAATTCTACAATGAACTACTGTACTGTATTAACTGGCATTTTACCTGCAGCACGAAAAAAACTCCACCCTGTTTGAACCTATTTAATAACAGTCTGAAACAAACTGGATACATCACTTATTGCAAGACTTATATTATATTTTAAAATGAGTTCATCTTTATTTTTTATGTGTTGAGCAAACCTAAAAAATCTCAGCTGATGAATATTTGTCCGTTCGAATATTGAAGTGATTTATTTCACAGTTTTCCTTTTCAATTAGTGTTCGTATTGATCACAGTTATGTACATTGATTCATAGAAAAATAGAAAGCAATATCATAGTTACAAAAATCCTCTATAAATACACCTAGCAGTGCATTTAGTTAAACTTGTAGATGCAAAGGTTGTTTTCGGAACACAAGTGTCCATTGCATTATGTAATCACTGTGTTTTTGTATTGCATTTAGGACATTTAATCCATGGTTAATTTTCTATGGAGGATGCTGCGGAGAAGCACGATCAGGTGAAACCTCAAAATGGTCCTCACTGAACTCTTGCGTAGGACTGCTGTCTGCTGTCTCCTGAGGTGAAGTGTGTTCAGGGGACTCAACTGGGTCAACATGTAGTTTCTTTGTGTCATGTGGGAGTTTCAGAAACCTGAAGGGAGGCAGATAAAAGGCAATAATGTGTGTGTTTTGTTTTGGGAGAATACAGAAAGGGAACGAGACAAACAGAATTGGACGGAGACCTGAAGAGAAGTTTTTGTCCCCGCTCCTTTTTGATGATGTTGAGCTTGTAGTAGTGCCGCAAAGCCCTGGACATTTTCTCATAGGTCATATTGTCTCGGTTCTGTAATAAGAGATCACACATCATCAAGGGCCCATGTGACTAAATTAATTATGACCCATGTCTTTAATTTTTTGTCTTTAGATCATTTTTGAAATTCCCTGTAAGATAAAAGAAACAGAGCAGTGCTCACCTTGTGGTTTCCCCAGAGACGAGCCAGTCCATTGGGATCAACCACCCTAAACACAAGGCTGTCGTGGTCTTCCCATCGGATGTATTCTTGGTATCGGTCATCACACAGCAGCTTATACACATAGTCCCACAGCAGTCTGCACTCTGGCCATGATTAAGACAGCAATAAGACAAATGCTGCCAAAATGTATAATGCTTTTATTATAGTTACTTTCAAGAAGCCAAAAAAGAAAAGATTCATTTTAAAGTACAACTGTAAAGCAGTGTTCATATCTAAGCATGTAGGCATCTGTTGTCAGGTGCATACTGTACATGAGGGAGCGTGTCACTAAGGCTACCTTAAGCAACATTTATAGGAGAATAAAATTGAACTGGCGAATAACATTTAACTGGACTAATTGTCCCAGTCTGAAGCATTTTCCAGCTCAGACTAACACATAGATTATTGTTTTGGGTTTTCTAGTCTGTGTTGCTCTTTGCTCACCCCCACATACACTCATATAGGCATAGAGATGTAGCTAAAGAAGAATATGTAGCTAATGAACAATGTTACAGCTTAATAGTGGACTCCTACAAGGAAGAACACACCTAATCCGTGCTGACGTTGCTCTGAAAACCTGTTTCAGACTTGTGTCTTGGAGTCTGTCTGCCCTCTAGTGGTCAGAATATACGTATGGCAGTTTTAGAAAATAGTTCATTTTTTGTTGCCTATATGTGCACCTTTAAAACATACAAAACACATATGTTTAAACTTTATATATTTGTAGAGTAAATACTATGCAATTGTTAATAAGTAATGTACCTGGGATGCGGCCATTGGCGGGGTACACTGAGCTCCTTTGCTTCTCCCGACTGGACAGGTTGAGCGGCTCCTTGACAGTCTCTAACTGGACAGGACTCTGAACTTGGTTGGGGGGCAATGCAGAGACAGCTGCTGGTCCATCTAAGAAAGAGAGAGAAGGAAAGATAGAGAGAGCAACAAAGAGGGAGGGACACATAATCAGATATCACAGCAAATGATTACATCTGCTGGGCATTGTCTTTCTGAGATTGTTATAAATTATACACACTGGTAGATGTGAGTGGAGCAGGGTGTGTGTAAACGATCAAGGGTGGCTGGCGGATCACAGTTGGTACAGCAGCTGCCGAAACTGCAGTGGCGAAAGAGAGGGAAACTGTGAGAGAGAAATATGAGGAACTGTGACAAAAGCTTAACAGAAAGCAAAAGTGACTTTACAACAGCTTAAATATTTGTACAGCAATGCACAACACAAACATGTTGTAGAAACATTGATGAACAAAGACATTATTATATATTCTGGAGTTGTAATATAACACAACACACCTTTTGGCACACGTCCAGCTTCCTTTAATGGAAAGCACCTTGTTTGTGAGACAGTGCATTAGTATTCCACTAGTGACGCATAAATGCCTTAACCAGCATTGGTGTAAGTACATTTACTCAACAACAGAATGCAGTTTTGAGGCGCTACTAGTACAATGTGTGTGCAAAACTTTAGATATTTCACAATATACCTACACTTATCTGATGTGTGCAGCTGCATAACACAATATAATATGCAGTTCAGTTAATTCAACAACATACTCTAACATCACATGACAAGGGGACCTCTTAACATCTAGACTATTAGACACAGAGGTTTGAACTTCAAAGTTTGAGAATAAAATGTCAAGGCCCCAACAAGTATAGGGAAAAAACAGTATTAATTCCTGCATGTGTTAAGGAGGAAATAATCACTTCGACAATCTAACCAGGATAAATGAGTTTGATTTGATACACCAACAACTCCAACAATCAACTACGTGTTAGTATGAACAGGACGTGTCTGTTCTGCCATGCACTCCGCAGACAGTACATGACAATCTGACCTTTATGGTTTGCTGTCCATATCTTTCCTGTGAATAATACGTGTTAAAGTTTATTTCTAGACATTGCTGACCTTGGCTGACTGTGGGAGGCCGGGGCTCTTGGACAATCTGTGAGGGTATCTGGCAGCTGACTGGGCTCTGGTTGCGTCCAGTTGCCGGGGAAGGAGATGCATTTTGGGGGTCACTGACAACACTCCTCCTTTGCTGTTTTACATACTGTAGAATCTCGTACAGAACATCACCTGTAAAAAAGGAAGGAGGTCCGTATGAAAACACTGGGGTAAAACTAGTCAGCATACTCTCTTTCTGCATGCACACTCATTTCTACCTGAGCTGGGGCAGCGGCGTCTGAAGTCCTCCTTGGTGAGCAGGCAGAGGGCACGACCGTTCATCTCAAAGCGTCCCTTCTCAGGCCTCCGCAGTGAGTACTCCCTCTGAGCCCAATGGAGCCAGTGGCCAACGTCCTCTTTGTCCCACAGAGATGGGTTTATTCCTATAAAACAGATGCAAATCATTAAAAGCACACTGTTACAGAGGGCGTTTATGTTACAGGCAGATACGTCTACTTTTGCTGATGCTGGAGTTGTATCTTTAAGGTAATAGTGTTTGACTTACGCAGACGTCCAGGTAGATGCCAAAGGTCTTCCTGTATGGGAGGGCTGTGCAAGGGAAGCTGTTTAGGGGGGGAGTGATGCACACTGAGAGGAATGTTGACTTGCCTTCCGGGCATTATGGATGGAGGAGTGTTTGCTCTGTTTTCTAGCTGCAAAATATCAACACACATTGCCATAAGAACACTTCAACTCCAATCAGTGGTGGTATAGAAACAAGAATGCAGATCATTTGATAATGTTTTATAATGCATTAAAGAAACAACAATGTAGAGGGATTTAAAACATTTCACCCAAATGTTACATTTGCAGTAGCCTTAGCAATGGAAGTTGGCCATAGAATAACAAATGTAAAACTCTCAATCCTATAAAAGCTCTGTTTATATCTCTGCTTTATAAAGACAACATATGTTTCTGTGACCTCAACTTACCTTGACCAAAGGTGACGGGGGAAAGTTCTCCATGGAAATGTCCTTTATCTGTTCGACTGTAAACAATTACACTAATCCTCTGATGTAACTCGTCCGAAAAATTTAACAAACTGCATGTCAGATCTCCACGAACTCCATATTAAATAAAGAAAGAACAGGATGTAACTTTCGAAGAAATAAAACTCCACTTTTTTCACATTCGATTCGACCCTTCCGGGAAATGAAAACGAAAGAAACACACAATCCTTGTCATGGGTGTGCTACAAATCTGATTGGATGAAGCAACAGCGGAGGACATTTCCAACAACATTGCACTTGAGCGATCTAGCAACATATTTATTGGAGCAATGCATAAATAATGTCGTATAGTTTAAGCACATAGATTTCACATAGCTTTCACGCATTACATATAGCATGAAGGATCATTGTGTTCTGAATGTAAGTTAAATGGCAAGAGGTGAGAATACATGTGGATACATTTATGACAGACTGCAGTACACAGAGCCGTGCGCGCCTATTACAGCAGAAAGTCCTTCAGGCTCCTCCTCTTACTGGCTTAAAGGAAAACCAAACCAAAGGAAAGACCAGCGTTGAGTTTACAGGAGCAGACTGGTTACAGGATAAGACTAGACGACGACGAACTAGGTAAAGTGTTTAATCCGGCGAGTAACACTCAATACCAATTTAATGCACTCACTATGTTGAGACTTGACATGTTCTGGAAACAAGTTCACTGTAATGGGACGCCTCCGAACAGAAAACATATGCACCGAGGCTATTCTTCCACACACAGTGACGTCACGAGCTACCCATAATGCAACGCGCGCCATATATCTATATAGAAATATGCCATTTTCCTGGAGGTGCTAATATAAACAGCTAGGTAATGTAGCCAGGCAGAGCGCACTAGGTTTTTTTTCTGAAGTAAAGTAAAGTATTTTGGCCAATCTTTTTTTCATTAATAGGCTATATGTTATTGCTTTAATAATAATATTATTAATTATAATGATAGAGCCTACGTTTCACAACCCCCCACTCAAATTATACAATCACAATGCATGTATTTAATGCAATAATTGGAAATAATGCAGGTGCAATTCGAATGTGGACTATGGCGCGTTTCCACTGCAGGCCTCGCTCGGCGAGCTACCCACTGCAGTGGAAACGCGCGATAAACGGTTTCAAATGGTTCTTCGTGTAGCTAATCCTTATAATACCTGCCCTGTCTGCTGGTTACCTGAAAATCTGACAGCAAATCTACAAGTTTTGAAGAATCTGGTTGTTCAGGTGTCACACAAAGGTCAAACATATATAAAAAGTGGCACTTATGTTTGATAAAAAAAAGTAATGCCACGATTCCACTATACCTCTAACGTTTTCATACCAAGGACCTCTTGAAACTTCAGCGCGCTCCATTGCGGAGATATTCCCGCGAGAGTGCGGAAAAGTGTATTTATTTATTTCAAATGTGAAATGTTACCAATATACTCGCGGACCACTAGGGGGCGCTCACGGACCAGTGGTCCGCGGACCACACTTTGAGAAGCACTGCTCTAAACAGTACGACCCCGTCACTAATAAAAGACCAGTGCTTAAAATAGTAAAGATTTGTAATTTGTGGGTTTGCTATATAGGCCTACTAGTAAGAATGATTTACATTTTATTTTGTGTTTGTACATTTTTGAAATAGTCTTGTAACCACCTGTATAAAAATGTGTCTGCTGTCACAGTTCTCCAGCGATGTTTGCGGAAAAACTGGGAAAACAGTTGGGCCACCCTACACGATCAGTGGCAGGATGGCTGGTCAGTAAGTTGCTCACGGTACGCAACCGTGCTCTTGAAGAGAGTGTTGTGCAGATATCAGGGATCCAACCTGAAGACACAGTGCTGGAGCTGGGTCACGGCCCGGGTCTAGGTCTGCAGTCAGCAGCCAAACTGCTCACAGCGCCCACAGGACATCTTATAGGGCTGGATTACTCAGCGTACATGCATCAGGTCAGGAATGAATACTGACATTATGGAATACAGTATTTAAATCAATTAAGTCTGTTTCTGTTTGAAGTCTTGGCAAGAAGGCAGAAAACATACGAGAAAACCCTAAGTTTGGGCCATTTTTGTATTTGAAGTGGGGGGCTTTACACATTTTTTAATTGAAGGATATCTCTTTTTTTTCTCTTACAGATGGCAAGTGAGCTGATGAAGGAGCTTGTGACCAGTGGGAAAGTGACCCTACACCATTGTGATGTAGCAGCAATGCCTCTGGTAGACAGCACTGTAGATAGAGTATTCCATTGCAACTGCTACTACTTCTGGCCTGACCTCAAGAAGGGAGCCACAGAGATTCACCGGGTAATGAAACCAGGTAAGACATCACTTTGTAACCATAACACAGACTTTATTTTCAAGGCAGATATGTTATCCGACAAGTTGTAGCTTTCCGAGCAATATGGCTGTTGTTTAGTAGTGCTTTCCTGCACAGTCATTCTTTCATCACTCTTGAACCCACCCAGGAGGCCTGATGGTGACTGGGATGAAACTGTCAAGTGTTGCTGCTTTTGCAGCAAAGCGAGTAATGCCAGGGGAGAACTGGCGCCCGGATGCCTACATGACAGCTCTGAGTGACTCTGGCTTCACTGATGTCAGAATGGAAGACAAACAGCACACACACATTACTTTTCAGGCTATCTATGCCACTGCCTCAAAATGAGATGAGATCATCATTTGGCATCAATAAAAATAATCAATTGTATCTATAACTGAATGAGTTGGATGTCAAAGTGATTACAATTAAATAAAAACGAGCGGACACTATCGACATAATTCACCATTATCTGTGGTTAAAAACAGGCTTTTATCTTACATTGCTTTTTCTGTGATGGTTTACTTTCACACTCACAACTGTTAATGTTAGTGTGTTACTATGGTAAGATACAGTGTTTAGAGTAAAAGTGTAGGAAAAGATGAAGTTGTCTGTCTCTAATTTCTTAAACCTTCTACAATATATGATTTTAAAAAATCATGTCCAGACTTGTAACTGAAGACAACATTAGAAAATGAACAGTAGGTGGCGATGGTGCTCGGCTGGGTGCACATATCCAACAGAAGAAGAAGAAGAAGAAGAAGAGGGAAATCCAAAAACAGCGCAGGTCCTCTGCACGGTGTTGTGAAGTTAAAAGTTGAGCTGCAACAGCGTCTGTAAAGTGGTGACAACTGTCAAATCGTTCGAAAAGTAAGTGGTTTTAATTTAAGATCAAGTTAACTGTATACTATTTTAACTTTGGCGTTGTTGTTGGACTCGAAAAATGTTCTAAGGTGGTCCCTAATCAAATAATTAAGCTTAGCTAGTGTTAGCTTGGAGCTCATCTAACCTAGATAACGTTGAAATAAGAAACGTAAATTGTTCATTTAACTACATCAATATCAGTAATGATTGAACACCAACGATCGTTGGTTAAAACGAGTACATAAATGAAAGGCCAATATTTCCACTGTGTATGTGTTGTGTGATGCAGAATGCAGAAGGCTTCCCGTTTGAAGCGTGAACTTCAGATGCTGAGCACCGAGCCTCCTCCCGGGATAACATGCTGGCAGACGGAGGAACAGATAGACGACCTGCGGGCTCGTAAGTACAGGAGAACACACACGATTATGTAAAACCAACAATGTCTTAACCAGGGGTGTCCACACTTTTTTCACCACGGGCCACATACAGAAAAACATACGAATGGCTGGGCCACTCCCTAGAGGTGAGGTATATTGCCTCAAGTTCAGTTATAAGTTGGAAAAATCAATCAAATGTAGGTAAATTATTCTTGATATTTGAAAATGCTTAAAGAAAAAAACAGCCTACATCACATCTCTCCATAGTGTTTCATTTAGTTTGTTACAAAAAGTGTTGGCACCTCAGTCCTTAAAACTGAATCTTCAGATTGCTTATAATTAGAGGAAATATGAACGTTATATTTCAAGGTTCATTTAATTTCAAACCTTTATTTATGCAGGTGAATCCCATTGAGATCATTGATCTCTTTTTCAAGGGTGACCTGCTGCAAGTAGGTTCCACATGAATACATATAAACATAACAGAAAAACAAAAAATACATCATACAGCATATTTACAGCGACTACAGTTTACATAGCTAGTAAAATGTACAGGTTCCAACAGTTTCCGATTGGATAGCATCTATCCTTGCTTTAAAAACATTTAGAGAAACCAAATTGCTCAGCTTCCATTCCTTTTGCAGACTGTTCCAAGACAGAGGAGCTGCGCATCTAAAAGCTATCTTCCCTAAGACAGTCCTAGCAGTTGGCACATTTAATAAAACCACAGCATTCGATCTCAGGCAGTAGCCACTTACAATTCGCCGTGAGATCAGGGAGCAGATGTAGGATGGAAGTTTCCCTAACATGGCTTTGTATATAAAAATGTACCAGTGACTGAGCCTCCGTACAGTTAGTGAAAGCAAACCTGTTCTTGCATACAGGGTACAGTGATGGGTTAATGCTTTACAGTTTGTCACAAATCTCAGTGCACTGTGATACGCAGCATCTAACTTGACCAGGCAATTGGCAGGTGCATTCATATACATCAGATCACCATAGTCCAGCACAGGTAAAAAGCTCACAGTGACTAGCCTTTTCCTGGCCTCAAGCGAGAAACAGGACTTGTTCCTGTAGAAGAAACCTAGCCTAACCCTCAGCTTTTTAAGCAGGTTATTGACATGAAGTTTAAAAGTGAGACAATCATCAAGCCAGATACCAAGGTATTTGTAACAGGTAACCACTTCAAGTTTTGTTCCTTGTGTAGTTACAATATCTAAAACAGGCTCTGGTGTCTTTTTAGCTTTTGAAAATAGCATTACCTTGGTTTTATCAACATTTAAAAGAAGCTTTAGTTCAGAGAGCTGAGTCTGAATAATGTTAAAAACTGCTTGCAATTCAACAACAGCCTCCTTAATGGAGGGACCTGCACAGTACATCACGGTATCGTCCGCATAAAAATGTAAGGTTGCTCCATCAACATTTTCACCTAAACTATTGATATAGATGGAGAATAATAGTGGACCTAAAACACATCACACCATTAGTAATGTTTAACCACTCAGAAGACAGCCCATCAAAGTGAACACATTGGGACCTTTCAGAGAGGTAGTTCATAAACCACCCCACTGCATGGCTGGATATGCCTATACTGGCTAGTCTCTGCTTTAAGATACGATGATCGACTGTATCAAACGCTTTGGACAAATCAACAAATAGAGCTGCACATAAGGTTGTTATGTACATTTGTTATTGAGCTTTTTTCTTATCAACTTAGATTTGTTAGAAAATGTTTTCAACTTTAATTGACTGAATTTATTTGAAAATTGGGCTTATTAACACATGAATACTGTGTAATATATTTGAACATGTATATTTAAGAAGTATAAGATAAGCAGAAGTTTCATATTTCATTATACTTTTTGAATTAGCATTTTGGCCCCCGGGCCGTAGTTTGGACACCCGTGGTCTTAACCCATTGAAGTGTTATATAAAACTAACTAACAACGAACTATCTTTGATCTAAAACTCACTATCGGCTACTGTATTGTTTTCAAACGTATGCATTACCTACGTTGTGGAGATATGAGGATATAGTTGCAGTATTTATTAACCTACAGCAGTGTTTCTCAATCTTTTTCATACCAAGGACCACTTAACCAATAAAAAAACACTCGCGGACCACCTAACTCCACAAATATCCAAAAACATCGTTTTTTACAAATCGCCTGAAAATGGTACAAACAAGTGGCAACATGCGTGATGAAGGTACTTATCTGGGCTATATCATGCAATAGAAAGTGAAACTTAAGCTCTTTCCATTGCGGAGATATTACCGCGAGAGTGCGAAAAACTTAAATACATTTATTTATTTCAAATGTGAAATTTGACCAATATACTCACGGACCACTAGGGGGCGCTCACGGACCACCAGTGGTCCGTGGACCACACTTTGAGAAGCACTGATACAGGTTTAAGATTGTGTGAACTAGTTTATCTTAAAAAAGCCAATACTATATTCATTCTGTGATTGTTTTTGAATTAAAGAGACAGTATGAATTTAGCAGAATAGGTGTGTTTCATTATGAAACACTATGAATCATAGTAAAACCAAGATAAGGTCACGTATAAAGAAAGATGTATATCCATCAGAGGGATTTGTTGGTTGTGACAAAGTGGCAAATGCATATTAAAGGCGAGTGAATATTGTTTTAATAAATTAAATATGATACATTTAATTTCTTTTTTTGATAACTTATTGCGGAAGGTTTGAACAATTGTTAGTTAGGATCGAAACTAGCCTCTACAATTCTAAGCAGAATACTTAATTTGTTCTCAGCATTATACCACCTACAGTATTTATGATAACCTGAATATTTGTTCTATCTAGCTGATCTTCTGTTTTGTTCTTCCACTGGTTTACAGAGATAGTGGGTGGAACAGAGACCCCGTATGAAGGTGGGCTCTTCACTTTGGAGATCAAGGTCCCAGAAAGGTATATTATCTCGAAGTCTTAACATTGATATATGTTCTCTCTACCATTTCTACATTGTAAACACTTAATGCAGTTTATAAGACTTACCTGCGGTTTTCCTCTCGTAGGTATCCATTTGAGCCTCCTAAAATGCGTTTCTTGACTCCAATCTACCACCCCAACATTGACAACTCAGGGCGTATCTGTCATGATGCCCTGAAACTACCGCCAAAGGTAATAACGGATTAATACAAAAAAAAGTTGGTTTTGATTCATTTGTATCATCTGGTTTTGTTTGTCTGCTGTACATTTTGTATACATTTGTATTATTATTCAGGGTGCTTGGAGGCCATCTCTAAACATCTCCACAGTCCTCTCCTCCATTCAGCTGCTCATGGCCGAGCCCAATCCAGATGACCCACTCATGGCTGATATAGTAGGTCACACATAATCTTGCATTCCCAGATATCAAATAACCTTTACAATACCATACCTTTTTCCAAGTTATAATATTATGGTGGTTTAATTTTTGTGTGAATATTCTTATATAAATATCAATAAATATGTATATATCAATAGACTTAAAAATAAATGTGGACATAACAATGGCTAAGAACTATATAACACTATACTTCAAACTTGCTCCTGGAAATGATTAAATACTCTTTCCACTATGCATTTTCAAAACAAGCCCAACGTTTTCAAAATCCCGAAACATCTTGTTTTGTTCAGTCTGATCCACTTTTACATATTTTCACAGAAAACCTCTTACGGCCTGAAAATGGCATTTGAATTGTAATTCAATGGTGTATCCCCGCCGTATACACAAGTAAAAAGACATTTACATTTTTTGAATGCAGTCATCAGAGTTCAAATACAACAAACAGCTGTTTACGGAGAAGGCCAGAAAGTGGACACAAGAACACGCTGTTCAGAAGAACATGGTAAGTCTCTCTGGTTTGGGTGAAGAAGTTGTAACATATTTAATGTTGTTCATGATTGAAATAATTATCCAGCTTAATTTATTTCATTATACACTGAGCTTGTGTGTATGCTCCATTATACTTAGTGGTTGACATGATGATTGGCTCTTGCTCAGACAGCAAGGAACTGTCTCATTGAATTAGCTCTTTGTAGTGGTATATTTTACTCACAAGGTGGTGCTGTAGTACCTCGAAAGAGTGTTACCTGCTAACTTAATATTTACTTGTAACAAAGAGATGCCGACTGTTTGATTTATATTCAAATGCGACTTCAATATTTCAAAATTCTCAGCTTTTGGATGTGAAGGCGCAAT